CCCTCTGCCCAAAGGATCATTTCCTTAAGGTACAGCCACCCTTCCTGGGCTCCCATCTCTTCAAAACTCCTACTCTGCAGTGCGTCCTTGACTAATCGCCTGAGTTCATTGAAATCAGCTTTCCTAAAGCCTAGCACTTTCACCCTACTAGTTACCTTACCCACTCACCATCTTATGATGAATTCTATTATTAGGTGATCACTGTCCCCCAGGTGACCACCTATCTGTAGGTCCCCTACCATGTCATCCCCTGTTGCCAATACCAGGTCCAGTAAGGCATGCCCCCTAGTGGAACCATGTACCTCCTGCGTCAAGTGGAGGTCCTGTACGCAGGATAAGAACCTGCGTGAACGGTGGGACTTTGCTGTCTGCGTCTTCCAGCAGATGTCTGGGTAGTTTAGGTCCCCCATGACTACCGCCTCCTTAGTTTTTGTGGTCTCCGAGAGCTGCCTCAGGAGCCCCAAATCTAGCTCTTCCCCTTGGTGTGGGGGTCTGTTGTTCGTAGAAGCATTGCTCTCCTGTAGAGTATAAAACATATGATCAAATTCTGCTGTTATTTATACCCTCTGATTGAGGTGGTCAGGTGTTAATGAAATAATTGTCCCTATTTGCTGTACGGGTTAAAAAAAGTGAATTAGCTCTTTCAGAATATATGTTTATGGCAGTTTTTTTTTAAATTCTCTGCTGAAGTGATTTGAATCCCTATTAAAATTGAGCATCTAAATCCTTTAATTTGCTTTCAAGCCAATTTTTCCTGCTTGATTATCAAGTCTTCTTGATCCTCATCTTTTCTACCACTACATCACTTTTTATGGAGGTGATGGAATCAGTGGTATGTCTACACAGGTTGAAATAAGGGTCTCAAGTTGTGCTGCTGTGTGTATGTCTAGGCATTTAACACTGGTGAACATCAAAATCTAGTGTGCACAAAATCTGGGATATAAAGTAGTTCATATGCTGTCCTGGAGTCTGTCTGCAGAATATTGTGGTTTTGCAAGTATATTAGCCTATTATAAAGAAATCTTATTCTTGTTGCTGTGAGTCTCTCTTGCTCAAAGAAGAAGAAACTTCTGGACATAAGACCAGATTTTAAGTAGACCTCAATACCCCCTGTTCCACTCCCAAATTTAAGACAGATATTCAAATGAGTTCTGCCCCTATTTAAGATGCAAAATAAGTGCTTATAAAGGTGTTCTGTGCTTCTCAAAAATCTGTCTGAATATCAGTGGGAAGTACTGCCTCTCAGAGATCTGATGGCTGGGCTTGTGTTTCTGTGAATTTTTTAGCATGTTTTCAGAGAGGAAAACACTGTTACCCCAGACATTTCTATAAGCAGAAGAAGAAATCTTGGGATCTCTTTGTAATTTTAAAGTGCTGCTTTGTTCCGTGCGGTAAGGCTGCAAGTGCTTATTTGAGGCCCATAGCCTTCCCTGGGGACCTCTTGTCCCTGAACCCTGAAGAACTATTTGCAGTGCTAGAGTCCCAGTTAGGGTGACCTTGCTTGAAGTCACGGTAGGAAGAGTGAGTCTACACAATGGAGATCTCCATCATGGTCCAGGGATGTGTCAACTCTCCCCCAGCTGGTAAGATGGCCCTAACACTTTGCCAGTAATGTAAATCTGATTTTTAAAAGGTCCATCTGCAGAGGTTTGTGCCAGCACTTGTTTTATTGTTTGAGGCCCAATTTGCACATTTCACCTCATATGGATTGCAAAGAGCATCATTAATGATAGAGGAAGTTGTGTGTGTTTAGCTGTTTGTTTGTTTGTTTTTTCTTGTAGGTTTCTCATCACCCACCAGTATCAGCTTTTCATGTCAGTAATAGGAAAGATGGGTTTTGTGTTACTGGCAGCATACTAGCCAAGTCAAAGTTTTATGGTAAGACATCAAACCTAAACATCCTCAAAGTGACCTACTCATGGTGGTGTTTCTCTGATGGAGTTCTTAGTCCTGCCTACATCTCATTAAAGATGTAGGCAAAGAAGTTGCCAGTTGGACTCTGTAGTATACCCTATGTAGCTGCCTTTAGAAGTAGAGAATCCAACGGTAGCTACCTCCAAGATGGTTGAGAAAACTGTTATGTATACAAAACATACATGCTTGAAATCTTGCTATTGTGCTATCCATACAGGGTACCATAATTAGAGGACAAAATCCTGTTCTTGGAGACATATGCCAAGCCCATCTCCTTCAGCACATGCATAAATTATTACAGAACTTGGCCTGTAGCAACTACTGGACAAATAATAATAATTGGACAAGGTTGAGATTTGATGCTGAGGATTCCCCTGAGACCTTCATACAAATAGAGTGGCAGGACGTTGTCCAAACATCTGATGGGGATTTGCAGGCTCTCAGACATGCTTACTTTATGCGTAATTATCAAAGTTGCACTTAGAGGCCCAGGTGTCTACCCCAAATTCCCAACATGCGCAGCCCCTGTACGAATAGTTGCTTCAGTACCTCTGCTTTCTATGATCTTCAGCCACAAATCCGTCAATATACATCACCTAAAAAGTGCTTCTGTGTGCCTTGAAAAACATAACACTATTTTGAATTACTTAATTTACTTGGATATAAGACTCCCCCCCCCCCCCAATTAGATTCTATATATGGAAATTGTATACATTTATTGCAATTTTCCAGGTATAGAATCTAATTATTAGAGGTTGCCTTATTAGAAGTCCCCTTTCCACTGCTACAGCAGGGAAAATAAATCTGGGGATGTCAGGTGGCCCCTTTGCCCTCTGCAGCCCCTTCCCCACTCCTTGCTGTTGCAGCCTGCTCTACCTGAGCAAGGGACAAATGTGAAAACACTGGGCTTATCTATGCAAGACATTTACTGTGGAATAGACTAATTAGCTCTGCAGTAAACGTCTGACATCTATAGTGCAATCTGTTAGGCTGCAGGAAACTAATTAACTCTGCAGCAGGATAGTACTTGTAAATATCTTGTTGCAGAGTCTTTTACTCTGCAGCACCACACATGTAGGCACTGATGTGGCTGGCTGTGGCACGAGGGTGCTTCAGTGCAGGGGGTTGCCTGCTGGCTAGCCCTGCACTGGAGCATCATCAAGCCCCAGCCAGCACTTCCACAGCATGTTGAGCTGAGTCAGAGCAGCTGTGCCTCCTCCCCTCCCCAAGTTCCCTGCCAGCCAGGGCTGCTCTGACCCAGCTCTGCTGTATGCTGTAGTCCTGGGCATACGTATAAATGCAGTGCCTGGGAGCAATAAACTCCAGTACAATATGCACCACAGCTTGTTTATTATAGGCAACTTACTACAGGTACCCATAAATTTTGTTCCCAAATTGGGAAAGAAAGGAACAGCTCAGCTGTAGGACTGAAGAGGACATCAAAATGTATGCAGTGTAATGTCTCACCATGGGCTGGAAAAGAGTTTGTGCTGAAGGGGATGAAGTGCAATGGGCACTACCATGTGAGTTACTTAGATGGGTGGCACTAACTTTATTCTTGTGGTAGATTCCCATAGATCAAGTGGTTTTGGCAGCAAGGGGAGGGTGTCAGGGCTGGCTCTGGCCCTGGTATTGCAGTACCTCCAGGCCCAGTGCCAGTTCTCTGTGTAATCCCTGTGCAATTTTCCAGGTATAGAATCTAATTATTAGAGGTTGCCTTATTAGAAGTCCCCTTTCCTCTGCTACAGCGGGGAAAATAAATCTGGGGAGGTCAGGTGGCCCCTTTGCCCTCTGCAGCCCCTTCCCACTCCTTGCTGTTGCAGCCTGCTCTTCCTGAGCAAGGGACAAATGTGAAAACACTGGGCTTATCTATGTAAGACACCCTGGTGGGGGGGTTGTTTTGCTTTTTGTTTGTGTTTTTTAAGGATCGGGGGGGAAAATGGTTTCCATCACCATTTTTTGGCACCAAGGGAGGGTGTTGGAACTTGCTCTGGCCTCTCCAAGTGCCAGCCTGGTATTGCAGTGCCTCCAGACTGGTACCCATTCGTTCCTGGGGACACAACTATCCTTTTTTTTAAAGACACACAGACCTGTTCCCATCAGCTTGTTTGCTCAGTACAGGCCCTGTATGTTATAGATGTGTTCAGTGTTGGCTGCATTTAATCAATTTCATAGTTGGTTTCCATTACTGAGCACATGCTGCTGTTGGCAGCAGTTTATTGATAGACAGTGTATTTAATGAGGTTTCCTTATCTGCAAATGTAAGACAAGGAGCATTTCCCCCCATGCTGATTGGGGGAAAGCAATTTTGTCTTATATTTGAGTAAATACAGTAGTTACTCATGAGACAGATATGCATCAAGTAGCTACACTGGCTGAAGCTGGACTAACCAGTGCTGTCCTTAGTGTTTATAGAATGCTCATCAAACTGGATGAATTTCATAATGAAGAAAAAAGACTTAGCAGGATGGGTGAAAATCCACCATGAGTGTAGGAAATGCCTTATTGCATGAAACCTGGCAGTGGCTAGTACCTTGATTCTTTTCTGCCTCTTCAATTAGTAGTTGGTTGATACCCAAAATCATTGTCTCCCCATTAAATAGATTTATGTTTAACTTCAGAGAGATGTTGACCTGTACTTTTCAACTCTTAGGTAACTCGCTTTCTGCTTTATTGGATGGGAAAGCCAAGCTTACATTCCTAAACAGGAGTGAGGATTACCTTATTACTATGCCATATGCCCACTGCAAAGGTAAGATATGAGGAGCATTAAGAAAGGATGTTGGAAGCAAATGGACATACTGCTGTAGAACTGTAATTAATCCTGCAGCATTTTCCGCACACCTTTTCCACATTGAGATAATTAGACACTAAATGCATTTATAATCCTAAGAGCAAGGATTTTTGGGGGGTGATATCTTTTGTCAGACCAACTGCATAGTTGGAAAAAAGTTAAACAAGCTTTCAGATGCAAGACATACAAGGTTATCTGAAGAATATCTTGCATTTGAAAAAAAGTCTAATTTTTTTCCAAATGCAAGACATTCTTCATCAGATGACCTTGCATGTCTTGCATTTGAAAGCCTGTCTAACTTTTTTTTTTTTTTTTTCTAACTGCACAGTTGGTCCAACAAAAGATATCGTTCCCCCCAAAATCCTCACCTCTCAATTCTTGGTCGTCATAGCTACAGCATTGCCCTAACACTTCCTAGGAAATACGCCATGTGTCTCAGCTTGAGGATTGCAAATAATTGGAGATCCAGCTACTCTCATTGAAATCATTTAAGTTTGTACAGGAAT